GTATGTAACCACCTTTGGAGTGTGGGATGTCTTGCCATTATTTAGTAGATTGAGGGCTCATTGGGCCTGTGTTTTCCAAGCATTGTTAACAGACCTTGCCCCTTTTAGCTGGCATCCTCGAAAATGGGATCTGAGGAGCAGTGATACGGTGCAAGGACACATTCCAGGTCCCAAGTATTGCAGTTACAAAGGAAAAGTGATTTTTTTTTCTCTAACCCCCCAGCCTCAAAAAAAAAAAAAAGGAAAGAAAAGAAAAAAAGAGCACAGTGATAAAGAAAGTAATCAATAGAGCCCTATGCAACCAGGAATATTCACAGACAAGAATTACTACAGATGATTTTTCTTATTAAAAATCACTCTAAGATACTGAATATTTGCTATTCTTTTCCATTGTGAAATGGAACTTGGGTGACATGAACTTAGGTCAAGGTTTCTTTCAGGGCCACAGCACAAAGCGACTTGCACATATGGGACCTGCATTGAACTAAAAATGAAGAATTTTGTCCTTTTTTTTTTTGGCACTGAAGACTAATTTAATTATTTTCAGAACTGATTTTTTTTTTTAAGTTGCAGTGGCAACAGATAATTTTAAGATTAAAGAAATGCATTCAGACTATTTTCATTGGAAATACTTCTACCTTCCTGCAATTGAAAAACAAATTGTCTGTTTGATCATGTAGATTATGATGCATTTTATAATATATTTCTAGCTAGAAGTAATGTCAGAAGTCTTCCCAAATCTTGTTGTGAGTATCAAATTGTGAACTAGATTTAAGAAAAAAAATCATCTGTAACTTGGGCTCCCCTCAATAGGAACCATTAAGTAAAAATGTGTGTCTGAATTGGTAATGCCTTTTTTGAAACTATTAATGTACCTACAGAAGGACAGTGAAGACAGCCTGCTGCTCTTCACAGATTTTTGATACTTGCTGTGATCAGTTTGATATGTAATCTTCAATGATGCTGACTTGGTGTATTGCAATTTTCTTGTATATTTTAAGTAGCTTTTAAATTTACAAGTCTTCTTATTTATTGCTGTAATTGGTAACTAAATTATTTGSTATTTAAAAAGAAAACTTCGCAGCTGGTGCATTTAATCTCAATCTGGAGTTGTACAACACTAGACAGRTTAGTATTGGTTGTGGAGACCTGAGGAGTGATGAGTATATATGCATCAAGAGATCTGTGTGAAGAGCTGTAAAAATGCTGGAGACATGAAGTGGCAGGGGAGCTGTTCCTTGTGAGAAGGAGTAAAGACTTCTGCAGTGGGGCTAGGAAGACATCAGGAATGATCAAGTAATGGAGCTACATTCAGGCAATGTAGGTCAGGGAATACACTTAACATCAGTTCAGATATTTATCTTAGTACATCACCTGCCTGTTTTGAAGGGACACAAAAGTGGGAACATTGGAATTCCCACGCTGCTGTTAGTCCTTGTAGAGMTTGCCTATTCCATTCTCAGTTCAGTAGGGTATTTAGAGTACACTTCAAACCACCAGCTGAGAAGTGATGGTTTCTTAGATCCACGGGGAGCTTCCTGCCTTCCAGTCTGGCATTTCATTGCACTGTCACAGCCTTTACTGCACTGGCTTAAGAGAGTGATGCTTTTAATGTGTATTACCTACAGGTTTGAGCTAAGTATAGGTGTAGAGACTTGTTATGTTTTGTTATGCGTTATAGTGACAACTACTAGTGTTACGTGTTGGGCACTGCTGCCCTGAGTAGCCTACTAGGGACTTTCTAGTTTTGAGCACAAGAGGCACGTGTTTTCCAGCAGATTATTTGTTATTGTGCCTGTGGTGACATTTGTTAGAAGATCACCTGTCCTGATTTAACCTTCTCTGCACAAGTTAAAATGAAATTCAGCCAAGGCGTACAAAAGGACTTGGTTAACCAGGGAATTCCTTGTAAATGTGTGGAATGCTTCTCTAACGACTTCATCACAGGAGCTGCCCAGAATCCGGGCTAGCTAATCGCTGACAAGGGGAATGGCTTAGGCTGGGCTAGATTGGAATGGCTTGGGCCAAGTTGTCAGCAGTATAAGACATACTGCTGAAGAATAACAGGAGCATCAGAAGGAAGCTTTTTCCTGGGCTGCACGATTATAATAAAATATTGTGGCTGTTGCAGGATTGCTCAACTTGCTTCTGTTTACTCAGTGTTCTTACAAAACTAAATTATGAGCTGGAAAAAAAATTCAGCCTTATAATCAGTTATCAGTAGAGGGTGCTATAGACCTTTTGCTTTTGTTATATGTAGCTTGTATGCTTATCAAATATGTATTTAGTTATTTATTATTCAAAATTTAATTATACCTTTGCTTACATTGGTGATGCAGTTTACTGTAGTAGATCTTGATATCATTAATGTATTTCTGTAAGGGATCGGATTTTCCACTCAGTAAGATTCCACATTATTCTCTGATCAGCATGGTTATAAAGRTTTTGTTACCAGAGAGTGTTTGCTCCTTACATAGTATCATAAGTRTATAGAATCGCATTTACAGGCTTTAAAAACCACAAGCACCACTGCTGTGTCTCCCTGATGGCTGTTGTCAGTGTGGTAACAGTGCCCTCAGACAAGATGTACAGCATCTGAGGAGCTGCTTCTGTTGGGGAGGTAATCAGGGAGGTAAGAGGTGAATGTGAGAGGAGGTTGTGTGAACAGTTGGGACCATTAAGAGAAAAACTATGTAGGAGAAAAACAAAGTGATTTGGGGAGTGCTCTTTTCCTAACTCTACCTTCCTGGCTCCTGCATCCTAAATGTCTTGTTAGCCCTCAAGTTTCTGACTTTTTCTCACAGTGTCCAGCTGTTTCTAGCCTTTTCTGCTATTTGCTGATAGGTTGAGCTATAAATTTTGCTGTGGAAAGAAAACAGAAAACACTGTGGCCTGTCTTGGCACTTCGGTTATCTTGACGTCTGGTGGGAGATGATTTGAGCTCAAAGTTTATTCTTGGAAGAAGTCTTATGAGCCAAATGACTTTGATTTCTGAGAACTATTAGAGTTGAGTGCCAGGGGAATATCTTGACATATCTATCCATCATTCTGCCAGTTTTGTTCTTGATAAACTTGGGATGAAAGGGATGGTCCAATTTAGAAATACTCTTAGCTCCGCTTGGCTTTGGTAAAAAGATAACTGAGAAGGCAGAAGGTCACTGAAGATTAACTGTTCTTTTGGAGGCTTATAGCGAGTCGTTATTGTAATCCTCCACTGTTCTTTTGGGCTGCATGGTAGGCAGGAGTTCCCTGGGCAGCATTCCTGGATATTCTGGGCTAAACTTGCGTTTTGCCATCTGGAAATAGAGAATCCCGTGGTCACTCCAGTAGTGTCTTTTCACCAGACTCCCAGCAGGCACTCCCATAGAAAAGGAATGGGGCAGCCCATCTGAAGAAAACACCCAAGCAACCAAATCCACAGACAGAAAGAAATCATCCGTTTCAAGGTCTGGCTCTGTGAGTTTAGCCCTGTTTCTAGGAAATCCAGACACAGCCTTATCCCAGCACAGCCTTAGCTATTACCACTTAAGTGAGCGGCCAGTTATATGCTGGGCAGCCTTGTAACCTTGTGCAGGGTTATAAGACAGGCTTTGGAGATGGCCCCCAAAGACAAGGGAGGTTTTGCTCACTAAAATTGCTAAGGAGGCTTGGGGGCAAGTGTAGGGTGTGCAGGGAGTGACTTTTGTTCAGCACTCTGTCACAGCCTTTGTGGATGACTGTAGGCAAATCACTTTCTTTCTGCTTCCCTTTCCTCTATGGAGAACATAGGCACTGCCTACTTTGTATGAGGTAGAAAGCACTGAAGACTGTCAGCAGCTGAGATCCTGAAGCAGGAAAGCCCAAGGCAGGCAGCCACAGGCAGGGGAGTAATGAGCTCAGAGCGGGAGCCTGATCTGTTAAGCCCCATTTGGAGCTGAAGAAGCAGGAAGTGTTCAAAATAGGCCTTTCCCCCCCAAGTGGCAATTATTAAATTGCAGTATAGTTCTTGCTGAGAGCCAGTCGGCCGTATCAGACTGGCAGAGCAATCCCGCAGCTCAACAGGTGCTGCTGCTCCCCCAGATTTCCTGAAGGAAACRGTTTCGGTGCCAGATCTGCAGCACAAAACACTAAACTTGGTGAGGGGTCAGACGGGCAGCATCTTGCCCAGGGGCCTCCTAAGGTAAGTTTATAGAGTGTATAAACTTACCCCTGATATCAGGGTAGCATGTGGTTCTGTCTGAGCTAGCCCGAGGTCACTAGCTCATGTGTTGTCTACTCTAGCATCTTGCTAGAGTAGAAAGCTCTGTATAACCTAAATTTGCAGTAGGATAAATTAATACTTGCACAGTTCASTGTGGCTGAGGCCTAACTAGTTTTGTTGTATAAACAAACTTGTTTCAAAGCTGCTTCAGGGTTTCTGCAGTAGCTCCCCTTCTCTTCTGTGCTGCAGACATGGGCATCTTTTGACCTGAARTATGGGGGAAGGTTAACAAGAGGACAAATTTTGCAGTCTGTTACTAATACAACAGTGTGCTTGGGAGAAGCAGAGAGTTGTAGAGATGACCAGAAAATGAATATGGTGTTTGTGGAGGTCATCTTCTGAAAGTCGCAATGAGTATTAGTGATCTTCCAGTAGGCCGGACTGATGTGAGCTAGGARTTAATGCCAGATGACTCGAGATGTTTACTGTGCAGACAGCCAAACCTGAATTTACCGTATAACCTCCCTTTATAGTCCACTGATTACAGAAAATGCATTTCTGAAGTATGATTGGTCTTGGGTCTTCATCGTAGAATGTGAAAATTCATGATACGAGTGGATCTCTCTGTGGTGAATGCTATAAGCTATACATCTGAATTGGAGTGGTAACTGCTTTAGGAACCTGGGGAAGGTTTCATCTAAGAAGTTGGAAGGCCTCCATGTCCTGTGAGACAAGTAGATCTTCTCCTATAATGTTTCAGAAATACAAGGAGGAAAGTGCTGCTTCATATAACTCTCATCCCTTTCTYCCCTCTGCGCAGTGAAATACAATTCAGCTCCTCTAGTACTACCACTTCAGAGAGCCAAGATCCATCTTCAGGTGATCAAGCAGCAAGCGCACTTCAGCAGCAACTCTTACTGATGGTGGCACGAAGGACCCTTTCCGAAAACCCACGGGTACATTGTAATATCTCAGTTTCTAGCGTTTTGATAAATTTGACATGCTGCAGACTTGTTGATGAGACATTCTGTTGGTTTTGTGTTTATACTCAGTACTACTCATCTGGGAGGATTTGTCTTGCTCTGCTGCAGTTCAGCTGCTCTTCTACTGACACTGAGTAGTGTCTTAGAGCAGCAATGTCACTGGTTTGAGGGGGCTGCTCACACAGCATGGAGGAGGTCCGGCCACATGAGTGAGAAGTCCCTCTGCAAAGTGCAGACCTGTAGTCTGTACTGAAGAATTAATCACCTRCTGGGTCAATCTTCTGTCTTCAGTTTTATTTGCTTTGAAAGGAAGAGGGCATAGCTGTTAGGATTTTAGACATATTTCCAGATTTTTATGTTATGACATGCTCACTTCTCAGATTTGTGTCACTATTATAATGTCACTGTTTTAAAAACTCACCTGTGATGTGACTTTTTCTGAATACGGTGGCCAGATGTCAAGTCATCTTYTGGGCATCTATTGTGGAGTGCCGGAACCTCCCCTCTCAGTAAAAGAGAAAAGGACCTCACGCTTTAGTTTGTATGATAATGTGTGGATGTATTTGAACTTGATAGTATTTGGTGTCAGTTACCAATGATTTGGTCTGTTTCTGCAGTTCCTTTTATAATAATGTTAACCATTTGTTCCAGAGAGAGTTCTAGTTTGATCTTTATGTATAATAACCTTAAAATGCCCGTAAATTATTCTTCATCTTAGCTTTTGAACAGGAGCTACAAGCTTAAAAGCAAAGTGTATAAAGGAACTTGTTTTAACTTATAAATCAGGTAATTGTACCTGTATATTATGAATATGTGTGCTTCAGATTTGGACAAAGACTTCTATCTAAAGGCTCAGATATTTTCCAGATACTTTTAGTTTTGTAAATTGCTTGTAAATTAGAGAACGATTATCACTTGGCTTCTAGGAAAACTGCACCATTAAAAAGCAACGAGTATTGCTCAAGACCACCAACAATTTGGTAATAGAGCCAAGGAGTAATTTCAGGACTTACTGGTTTCTGAGTTTTTATTAAATGTGAAATCCTGAGCCTATGCAAGTCAGGAAAAGGCTTGTCGTTGATTTCCTTGAGGCCAGGATTTCAGTCTGTCTCTTGACACCATATAAATTTATGAAGCAAAGTTTTTATAACCCTTTTTATGATAGGAGGCATAATTTAGACTTATTGACTTGCTTAGGGATAGTCAGAACGTTTCCCCAACATCCAGTGGAAAAATTCAGTCTGGCCCAAGTACTGCAAGCTTTAGGTAATTGATTTTATCAGCATTTTACAGTTCCTCAGGAGCCAATGTGTGCACTTACCTACTCAGTTTAAATGTTCTAAGCAATCAAATCTTTAGGTGTTTTTAGTGGACTCTTTGCCACTGCTTTTTTTTTTTCTTGCTGTTTTCAATGAACAGTCTAGAATGGAAGARAAGAACTAATGATTGCAACTGATATTATTTTCATAGTATCTTCTGTTGGGATRGTGGGCCAAAGAGAAACAGAACTGTGCCAGTAATAGCAAATATAATATTAAAAATCTTTTTTTAAAATGGTGACTTTTTAAAGTGATAATAGAAATATTAAATTGGGAATATTTGAATTACTCTTAGGTTTTAAAATCTCTGTGGCAGAGAGATTGCAATCTGTCTCAAGGCTTTTATATTACTTTGAATTGTTGATAAATGGCAGAATGACTAACAGCTGTCATTCTCTTGCACATCTGAAAACACAGGTGAGTTGCAGTCCTTTGCTGATACTAGCTGAGCTACCRGGCATTAAGTAGATGTGCACTTTTAGTCAATTGGAGGCAGGAGATACAATGTGTAATCCTGAATCTTTTTCACTGCGTAAATTAACATATTTTACTTTGTGTTTTCTAACAGACTGAGAATATCAACAAATCTGTTCCTGTGCCTTAGTAGTAATTCAAAGAATTCAAACAGGCTTTAAGTTTTAGAGATGTGACTTGTCAACTCCTCTTCATGAGGCCGTGATATGTCARTTATGTGTACGATTTGTTTTCCTGAAAAGCAAAGAACCATCAGAGAGAAAAACAGTTCCTTTGGCCAGGCGGAGAGAGAGGTCTTTTAAATCTCTGTGTTTTGCTTACAGATACAGTTCAGGAAAGTGATAAATTTCTTCACATGGGGATGATAGAAAAGACATTCTGGGATTAGAATGAGATTGGAGACAGCCARTAGTTGGCTATATATAATAGCCARTAGACTCAGAAAAGTGATATTACATGAGAAGCTGTCTAAAAATTGGAAATGTTTGGTATTTTTATGATGGAATCAAAATAGTTTAACTTCCTTCTCTGACAAGGAAAGCTTATCTCACAGAAATGATTTAAAAGTAAGCATTGCATGCATGTATGTTTATTATGTTGATTTTCTTTAAGAACTGAAGGCTAAAAGGACGTAAAAATCTCTCTTTTACACTAGTTAAATCTCAGTCAAATTCTTTTTCAAAGCATTTGTGATTTTTTTCAGCAATTTTTCATAAAACCAATGATTGGTGTGTACTGGAAGGAAACTGTTAGTTTGCAGAGCTTTTGTCTTTGCTGTTGTCCCGCTTTGCAGAATGGCCCCTTCCTCATGAYTGTGGAAGTAATGCAGATGTAGAGTTGAAGATCTGAAATGGCACAGTTCAACCGGAATAAACCCTTTTGAATCCTGCTTTATGATTAYATGGGTGAGACTGGAGCATCATCCACTAGTGATGTTTGCACTCTTTGTGTTTGCAATTTTCTTTTCCCTCTCGCTGTTCTCGAAGATGCGTACCTGACGTGTCATTAAAACCATTTCAGCAGAGAGAAGCAAAGCTGCAATTCTGTAAGGAGTTGACAAGTCACGTCTCTAAAACTTAAAGCCTGTTTGAATTCTTGGTTAGCAACAAAGATTTGTCTTTTCGCGTGGTTTTGTGTTACACTGTAATTAGCCTGCCACATAAAGTCCTTTAAAAAAAAACCCCGACAACAAAAAAACAAAGCAAGAAAAAAAAAAATTGTAGACACATAGTAGATTGGAAGCAATGTGAGTAGTGTTTTTAATGAATARTAAATATCTATGTTTGTATTTAAAGCATATTATCACTGTTGAGCTCAATGATTGGTGTAATTCCCATCCACCTGCAAAAAGATAGCCTGGTGCTAAAGTTAGGCTTTCTTTTTWTCTAAAATATAAATCAAGAAAGTAACTATGCCTCCAGTGTCTCTTTCAGGAAACAATGTTTGCAACTTGATGTAATTTCTGAACCTGTTTTGTAACCAGCCATGTATCAATGTGTAAGAGTGTTTTGTTTATTTGTTTGTTTTTAAAGCAACCCAGTCAGGACCTTGAGGATTCCTCATGTTCTTCAGTACAGCCGAAACTGAACAGGCAGTTTTACAAATTTATTATATTTCCTGGCAAATGGATTAAAGTCTGGTATGATCGGCTTGCCTTGTTGGCACTGCTGGACCGGTAAGCTTTCTGCATGCAGGTGTGTGTGGTGCTGCAGGTTGTGCCTCTCCATGTCCACCCAGCGAACAACTCCGACCACTGGAGGAGCATAGAGTGATAGTCCTGTTACTGTCTCGTGTTCAGGGTCAGTAGGTGTCATTCGTGCTTAACTAGAAGACAAGGTTTTTCTTCTGACTTGGTTTTTGTGGTTCGCTATTGATCACCTTAGCTGGTATTTTGATTCTTGGGAACACCATGTCTGTGGAATTGTCCTCAAATTTGACTGTCAGGCCTTGACTTTGCTGCCTCTGTGCATTCCAATGAGAAAATCAATGTTTTGTGCAAAAATATGGAAGCGTTTCAGGGAATTGTCAGCCAACTATTTCAATCTTCTTTAAAAAAAATGAGGAAACTGAGGAGGAAATATCTCAGCTTCTCCCTCTATTCTAGTTCATCTATATTTATTCAGAGATTTTTTTTTCTCAGCATCTCTCTGTTTCCTAGTCTCAGTCTCACTTGGCGTCAACTATTTTGACAGTGTTTTCTGCTGTTAGATCCCTCCTTGTGTTCTTCTGATCTGCAAGGCACCTCAGCTACGTTAACGTGCAGGCCTAGTGACTGCTGGCTGGCTTGTCTGCAGCGTGATCCCTGCTTTTGGGTGGGTGTTGCATGCTAATATAGGCTCCACAGCAGTGATTTCAGAAGACAGCTTTCATATGCTGCAGAAATCAGGCAATATAGTTGGGGAGACTAGTTCTGTAGCAGATACTTCCTTATCTATGGTGTCTTATCTGTGTGTTTCAGTTGCATGGAAAATACTTACTGATAAATTTTTTTTTTAATGACCTGTATATTAACACTGTTTTTTTTCCTCAGCTTTCCTGTTGTAATGTGGCAGATGAATAAAATATGAGACGACAAATTTTGTCTTTGGTTCAATGCTTTGTTGTCACACGTATATTTTACAGACTACAGGGGTATAAACTGTCACTTTATTTGGTCATCTATTAGATTTTTGCTACAACAGTTTTCATTAAAGAATGCCTTATTTCTGTATAAAAAAGTATGACATGCTTGAATATATTGCTTGCATTATATTCATATCRGCTCCACTGTGGTATCCTATCCAGGGAGATTGGAGGATGTTGATATGTACTGAAAGACAGCAGCAACTGCCTTTTGTCCAAATGTTTTACCTATCACAATGGCAGAGGGGTAGAGGTGAAGTGCTCTTCTACATGGAGATGTAGTTTTGGGAACAGACCCTCTAATCCAGTRAATTGTCATCTTTCTGGCACTGACAGTTTATACCAGCTGTAAATGGGCCTGGCTTGCTGTAACAAATATAAATATTTTTCCTCTYCTTAAAATACTTCTATTTTCTCATATAGGACAGAGAATATAAAGGAGAATGTATTATCTGTTCTTCTAGTAGTTCTTGTTTCACTCCTTGGATTCTTGACTCTGAATCAAGGCTTTTGTAAAGACATCTGGGTTCTGCTATTTTGTCTTGTCATGGCTAGTTGCCAGTATTCTCTCCTCAAGGTAAGCAACAAGTTCGTACCCAATTGATGAATTCTCTTTTAATTTCTGTGAAGGCAAAATCCTGTAAGTAAACTTTTTTTCTCTTTCGTTTTTAGAGCGTTCAGCCTGATCCTGCTTCACCCATACATGTAAGTCCCAGCCTGCAGAACAAGCCTTTCTGCTTTATGATCACTTCTGTACTGTGAAGCTCTTGGCTGTTCAGTGAAACACAGATATAGGTAGTTGCTGTTGCGAGTGGTTTATGAGAACAAGCCTGTGATTTTGAGACTTTGGACTACATTTGGTTAATTTTAGGTTATTTGAAATTATCACTGCTCTTGGAAGAGTTACTTTTGTTTAAGCTAAAATGTACAGTAAAAAGAAATGCACCTGGAGTAGTTAGCTGAAATAGCATGAGCAGGGTTTCTTTGGTTGAGGCCTGGAGGACTGTCAAAGCTGTGAATGAAGGCAGCTTATAGGAATGTGTGCTAGTTCTTTGGCAGTATAGTCACTAGTTTGAGAAACTGTTSTCTAACAGTGACAACGACCTTACAAAAAGACAGTTTCTTACCCATTTTTTTCCTCATTTTAGGACTGGTTTAGGAGTATCAACCTATAACTGCAAGCTTACCTTTCATCYTGCTCCATTTATCTGCATTTTAATTTTCAGATAAACATTGCTATGCTAGTATTCATGGGGGCCCCACTTGCGTATACCCCTTCTGCCAAGCTGCTCACACTTCTTATTTAGCCTCTAGAGTGTTTCTGAGGATCCCTCTCTTCCCTCAGGCTTCCAAAACAGCATGTTGAAAACTGCAGGTCTGCTGGATTGTTTCCCTTGGTGGGAAGCAATTATTTTTGTCAGTTTAAGGGCTAGAAATACCAGTTCAGCTTCAAATCAAGCTTATTTCCAATTATATGTTGTGTGTTACACTTTATTTTCCACCTTATTCATTATGAGGTGAACTTATGGTATTGTTGGTTATGATGCGTTCACAGGCAATCCATGTCTACATAAAAAGTAGAAAATGTTAGTGAAAGCAACTTCATTAATAGATCAATTCTATTCRTTGTAATAATAATATTGTAATTATAATAGCATGATATTTTCAGTGAGTTATASAAATATTCCTACCTCAGTAAACAGCTAGGGGTTGCTCAAATTAAAAACAGATTGTCCATCAGTTCAGCTAGCACATGTCTAGGCATAATAATGTGAAGAGTAATCAAATTGATTGCTTTTATACCAGACACTAGTAATGTGCACGTTTTTAAAGTGTATGACAACCAGTTTTGTTAAAATTTCACTGTAAACCTGTCTAGCCCACATTTTTGTAGTATTAAAGACAAAACAGCTCATGAAGTTTAATCAAAGCCTTTCTTTTGTGCAGAATCCAGGTTAGCATTTCAAGCTCATACAACAATATTATATTATTCATCATATTTAATTCTGTATGCCATGCAGCAGCACAGCGAAATAACAATAGATATAATTCCATCCTCTAAATTATTTTTAAAACTTTATCAGGGAAAGTTGTGGACTTTTGGTGCACTACAGGAACTCCAAAAAAATGTAATTATGAGAGTTTTTCTATGCAGGGTTTTAAAGACAGAAGACATTATAGCTGAAATTAAGTGGGAAGACTAATTATTCTTACATTGTGTCTTAGTAACACGATAGGTATTAATAAAGGCTTGCTTGAGCTAGTAAGAGCCATTAAAAATAACCAAAAGGCAAGAAAAGATACTCCATGTACTGTTTCAGAATTCATGTGACTACATTAAAACTAAAGAGAAATAACATCTCTTGATGCTAACGTAAGGATGCAGAACAGCAGGGAAATTAAAGAATGATCAGTACCATGTCCATGAATGAAGATGCAGATGAGATTTTTTTCAGTGTGAAATAAACCGTCGGGAACCGCAGATTTTCRCACTGAATTAATTTCTATTCCTGGATTCATGAGTAGCCTCTAGTGCCTTTCATTATCCATGCCTGGCAGGGAGCATCCAAACTTGCTCCCTATCTCTCGCGTGCAGACTTCGTTGCTGTTTGATGTGGCTTTGTCAGCTTGAGCCTACACCCTTTTAAAGGACTTCTTTGGAAGACCATGCAGTGGATTCAGACAACGCAGTGCCCAGGGATGCATAAGGCTTTTGTTCTGAAGCCCTTTGGAGTGCCAGCCTGTTCGCTGCCTTGTGTTGAGTAAGAGGTTGTTGACTAAACTCCCCACAGTCTGGTTCAGTTTTATCAGGGGTGAGGTTATTTCCTCACCGTGCCCATTCGAGTTGAGCGCTGTGTCTGGTGTCCACACCATAAGTGTGAAGTTTCAGCATRTAGGAGAGAACCTTTCTAACTTTGGATAATGTTTTGACTTTTACTATGGTTCAGAACAGYTTTGGGGTTTAAGCTGAGACTCCCAAGCTGCCTCAGCGTGGCCTGCCGGCTGCAGGCACGAGAGGCCTTCATGCTTCTCTGTTTTTAAAACCTTGAAAGAAGGAAATGCCCCTTCTTCCTCCATCCTAACTCACCTAGTTGTTATTAGCCTGATGACAGGGATCTGCTCAACAGTGAGGGTTAAATGCAGTGTGCAGAGCTAGGGGGATCTGTGCGTGCTCTGCTTGGAGCTGCGCGCTGTGAGGAGCTCAGCTCCGCACCCGCAGTCGTGGGGCGGCAGCAGCTTTGTCTCACCCAGCTGGAACAGTCACCGAGCAAAGAAAAACCCATGTTCTGTAGTTCAAGAGGTAAGGCAAGGATGTGAGGTTACAACAACARCAACACCCTCCTTCATCTGGAGTGTATGTCAGGATATAAATCACTGACTGATTSTTTAGAGATGATTTTTAGTAGTTTTTGAGTCACAGCTTGTGTTAAAGATAAATGAGCTGAAGCTTAGGAACAACTGGTAAGTAATCCTTTAAGTGATATTTTTAAGTGATATCTTTGTCTTTCTAATCTTCTTTGATTATTTTTCATGGGCATGTGTCCTATTAAATAAAAAAAACAGTAAGCTTCAGTATTAAACGCTACCTAGAATTTGTCGGTCAGGCTCCTTATTTCATGAAGAGAAGATGCAATATAGATGTGCTAGTTCTGTGCAACCTGTCACCTTAATTGATTGATCCCAAAGAGATTATAGATCCATTAATAGCAATACTGACAAACGAGCTTGGCTGGCAGCCAAGCAATTGTGGCTATTGTTTCAGATCAATAAATACMTTCAAAAGAAACTCTCTTAAATTACAATTTCCAAATATGAGCTGTTTACCGGCAATTATTTGCAAAGCAAACCTGAATCCTTGTCACTTTGCTCCAGCATTTGCACACTCAGGTGTGTCCTTAACCAGTCCCCACTTCTCTAAAGGACAGTGCAGTGCCTGTCACAGCTTCATTATCTGCCAGGTTAATGCTGGCTAGGAGGAAAGAGGGCCCACCTGCAAATGCACCTGTGACACTACCCTGTTTAAGAAAACGGCAGTGTTGGTTTTCCCCAGACTACAGCAGGGAAGAGAAAAGGGCCCCAGTGGAAAGAATCAATGCTCACACACACAAAAATAAGGATCCTGACAGGAGACCTTGAGTATKTGGTTCAGGAGGGACAGAGGTGTCTGCTGAACGTGCGTTGCCCTTTCAGGGCATGTGAGACAGATAACATAGCAATGCACTCAGACTTCTACCCAGACTGATGCTAAGTGTTTGCAATTTGATATTCTTCTTTACCTCCAGATGGGTAATTTCCAGAAAGATGTAGTGCTATCTTTGTTCTTTTTTTCTGCCCCCCCCCCCCCTTTTTCTTTTTTTAATAAGTTTTTGACTTGTCTGGAAACAGAGTCCTCTTGTGAAAAATAAGAATACCGTACTCATCATCACCACTATTTGATCGCATATTTTGATGATACCAACCCTTTATGTTGTAAATGGTCACAGCAGAGACCATTGTAGCTCCTGTTGTGCGCCCTGTGATGTTTGACTCCAGAAGTTTAGGGCTCCTAGCACTAAGTAGGCTCGAGACAAGGCTATTTAAAGCCAGGAAGYACTTGCAGATGTATCAGCAAATGGAGGTCAAATGGGATTCTGACAGAAGGGAACATAGGCTCGTTTGGGGCTATAGTCATGCCTGGAAAGCTGGTGCTCAGGGCAGAGCTGATTCCAACTGACAGCAAATGTAGAGGTGGGCCAGGGAAGGACATGGAAACCAGCGTTTCGGAGGAGGGCGGCAAGCAGTCAGCTGCCAGAATCAGCCTCCATGCCTCACCATATCCTATGGGGAGGCTTTAGTGTTCTTTACTTTCTCAGGGTGCAACTAAAAGATCAGCTATATTTTCTACAGAGTCTAAATAAAAAGCCACACTAACTGAAGCAGACACTCATAATAAAAGTAGAATAAAGCATTCTACTCAAAAGAGAATTTCAGATAGCTTCAATTTTTTTCTCTACAAAAAAGGCTATTGTGCTAAAATGACTATTATGACTATTGTGTATTAATGTAGTACAAAAGGTTGGTTTTTCAAACCTATACAATATTGCTGGAGTTAGTACCCTTTAAAAGCTGCCTCTGGAGAAGATAAAATGCCATGTATCATTTTTGTCATTAGTTAATATGCATAAGTCCTTAAAATATTTTGTCTGAGAGCTCCACCTCTCTCCAGTGTTGTCTATACAATAAGAAAATAAAACACAAAATTCAAATACTTTCTTTTTTTTCCTAGGGACACAATAAAATCATAACCTACAGCAGACCTGTATATTTTTGTATATTGTGTGGCCTTATTTTGCTGCTAGATGCTGGATCTAAAGACTCCAACCCTTCAGTTTATACAATATATGGCTGGAAGCTCTTTTCACCTGGCTCTCTCCAGTCAGCCAGAGACCATGTAATAGGTGAGTCAATGTTTTTTTTCTCCAAGATTATAAAAATGAATTAAGTGTTAGCTGCTGAAGCTTGTGTTTTCCTATGTTGGCAATCAAATGCATGTTAGGGAGGCACAGCTCTTAAGATAAATCGATAGGAACGTTTAGAATGACTTCAGACACGTGCAGTGGAGGAGCGAGACAGCTGGCARCCTTCCCTCATGCAAGAAAAGCTCTTAATGAAATGAGGCTCATAGTTGTAATCTCTGTAGAAAACTAGCAGTCACTGATGTTATTAGCAAAAGGCATCGTTTGTGTAGTGCAGTTCATCTTTGTAAGGACTTATCTATGTGGGGCAGTTACTATAGCATGAGCTGAGATGTAAATTTAGTGCCTGAAAACTGTGCTGCGCCAGGGCCTCACATGGACATTCTGCTTGTGAAGAATACACTTTTTCTTGGTTTAGTTTCATTTTAATATGCACATAAGGAATTGATGTCAGGTGGCCGTTCTGCAGTACTTTTCCRAGTCTACTTCCTTCTATAGTTGTGTCCTGAGGTTACTAAGGTATTTCCCCAAATCAGGACTGGTGCTGCTTGCTGGTGCTGCTTGGTACTGACTTGCACCTTGCACATCTGGAAATACCTTGCTCGGTTGTTGGTGTTATTTTTTTTTCTCTCTCATTATACCTTTGTATACCTTTGTACTCTATAACTGTGATACTAATTGTGTTACAGCTCTGAATGCTGGACTGGAATTAGATCAAGTGGTGTAAAATTAAGTAATTAGATCAAGTAGATTTTGTTTGTTTTTGCTTGTTTTGAATTTAGAGCTAGGAAAGCCTCCTGTGAGGAAAAGGAAAGAACCGTGTGGTATGAAGCATATGACCTTTGAGGTCTCAGTTCACCTGGGACTGTTGAACTTGCATTTTGCTCTACTCAGGCTGAAAGACCTACTGCTTTTGGAAGAGTCTTCTGCACCTTTGTATAGGTTCATAGACTCCCAATCCCTCTTATGGGAGGTAAACAGGGAAATAATGAAGACCTGCATCTCAGTTATTTTCATTAGCCTCTTTCATTACTTTCCTTTGGTCTCCTTAAAGTTTCTTCTTGYGTCTTATTTTCTCTGCCTGTCAAAAGTGAACAGTAGAAAAGCTGATAAATAATTCAACAAGACACTTAAATGACTCCTGAAATGGAGATAAATGGAAAACTACAGCAACTGGTATATAAAGAGAAGAAAAAAAAAAAAAAAAAAAAAAAAA